TGTGATAAGGTGACGTGCCTGACACACGCCCCCCCCCCCCGGAATTTCCTGTCACCGGTGCCTGCAGCTGGGGCAGGGAAAGCCCCAGTGGTCTCCTGCTGGGAGGCCTGACATCCCTTATTCCATGTGAAATAAGAAAATACATTTTTACAAAGGGAATGGTAATATAGTAGAGCAGTGCAGGAGGTCACTTTTCTAAGGTACAGTAAGGTAGCTATTGCACTGTTTATTGTAGAAGAAGAAGAGGAGGAGGAGGAGATTGGATTTATACCTTGCCCTTCACTTGGAGTCTCAGGCGGGTTGGGGGGGGGGAGCGAAGAGAGATGGGGTCATCCAGCCAGGGAAGCGAAGAGAGAAGGGGTCATCCAGCCAGCTGCAAGTGGAGGAGTGGGGAATCAAACCCGGTTCTCCCAGATTAGAGTCCATACACTTAACCACTACACCAAACTGTATGTATCACCTCCCTTTTTATTGCAATGTCCCCTACCTTTGTAACCCCTTTTCTTCATTATCATACATTATGCCTTAGGCCGGTTTTCCAGTTCTGTGATCTTGGTCCTTCCGCATTGTTTATTGGAAGTCTTTGCTGTCTGATTAAATTGCTTTTCATATTTTATAATCCACCTTGAGTCTCAGTGAGAAAGGCAGACTGTAAATGAATGATAATAACTACCATAAGAAAAGCTGTGGAATAGGACGCTTATCAAGGCTTTAGGATAAGTAACACTTTTAAATAACACAAAAATTTCATAAGGGGCACATAAGTACAGGTAAGTACAACGAAGATTCCGGATATGAGCTTCATTTCGACGTTATAGAATGGTTTATCTGAAAACTGTGACTGGTTGCCCATCTGAAAATTATTGTTACCCTTTGAAAATCCAGGAATTGTACTGAACTCTGAAAACTGACTGAAGATACAAATGAATGAATACAATGAGTGTGCTAACATGTAATCTTTGAAGAAGATAGTCGAAACGAAGCTCATATCCGGAATCTTTGTTGTACCTACTGTACTTACCTGTACTTATGGGCACCTTATGAAATTTTTGTGTTACTTATTCTAAAGTTTATAGGCTTATGCCTTGATTAGCATCCTATTCCACAGCTTTTCTTATGGTTTATATTTTGTGCTGGGAAGTCTTTTTCTGTTTGACAATAACTACCACCACAATCACCCAGCACAGGGTTACATGGCAACTGGGGAGGGAGGTGTGGAAGCAGGGACATGGGCAGGCTGCAACATTGTATGCATCACTATGTCACTTCCAGGGAAATCCTGGAAGTAATGGAGGGTAGCTCTAGGACTCTACAGTTTTACCATAGAGTTTCTGGCAGTTCCTAGATCTACCCTCTGTCACTTCTGGATTTTCCTTGTGCACATGACGACAGCCTTTCCTAAATTTATTTTAATTTCTCTCTTGCCGCTGTTCAGGTAGACAAGGCTCAGCAAGAGGAATTAAAATGGGACTTCCACTTGCTAATGCACTTCTATGGCAATGGAAATCTATCCTCATCATGGGTAAGATCCTGTTAGGTGTCTACTTGGGAGTAAATCCCTTTCAGGAAAGGTCCTGTTTCTCCCTCTAAAATGCCTTTTGTTTGAAGGCGAATTAATGATTTCCTGTTTGCTGGGACTGTGGAGTTCTCTCCAGGCACTCAGCAAATGTAAGTTTGTCAGTTTCCTTTCGTTCATCTAAAAAAAGGCTGGGGATTCAACGTAGGCTGTTTCCCACTATATTTTTCATTGCTTTTGATTGTAATAGTGCAATTAGGAAAAAGCAGCAGTTTCAACAAAGTACAAAACAATACGTAAATCTCCCTGCCCTCTGCCAGGGAACACCAGCAGATTATTTGCAATGAATGCCAAGAGAACAAGGTATGTGTGTGGGGGGGAACAGGAGGTGACACATTGTGCTGAGATAGAGTTGCCAACTCCCACTTGGGAAATACCTGGAGATTTGGGGGATGGAGCCTAGGGAGGGCAGGGTTTGGGGAGGGGAGGGACCTTAGTGAGGCATAATGTAATGGAATCCACCCTCCAAGCAGCCGTTTTTTCCAGGGAAACTGATCTCTGTCATCTGGAGATCAATTGTAATCCTGTTAGATCTCAAGCCCTGACCTGGAGGTAGGAAACCCTATGCTGACAGGAGGGGGGGAAGACTGAAAATTTAAAGGGGCAGTAGCTATGGGAACTTCCTTTGCATTTTGCACTGGGAAGTCCCAGTTGCACAAAGCATAGGCTAGCATTGCAATGGAGTTTAATTTTTAAGATACCGGGTCTGCCAGAAGACAGAAAACCAACACAGGAAAGAAAAAAAATTATGAAGGCAGCCAAGGAAGTGAAAAATTCCTTTTCAAATGTTATATTTTTAGATGACCTATGACCTTATACCCTGTTCTCAATGTTCTAAAAGTTTAAATCTTCGGACAGCGCTGGCTCTTCGGCTTTGAAACGGAGATGAGCACCGCAACCCTAGAGTCGGACTCGACTGGCTTTCGAGCAAGGGAACCTTTACCTTTTAGCTATGGGAAGTCCCATTGCATTTTGAACTGGGAAGTCCCAGTTGCACAAAGCATAGGCTAGCATTGCAATGGAGTTTAATTTTTAAGATACCGGGTCTGCCAGAAGACAGAAAACCAACACAGGAAAGAAAAAAAATTATGAAGGCAGCCAAGGAAGTGAAAATTCCTTTTCAAATGTTATATTTTTAGATGACCTATGACCTTATACCCTGTTCTCAATGTTCTAAAAGTTTAAAGAGTGGAAATTACATATAAAGAGGCATCATGAATATGCATACACTACCTACTTCAACTGGCATATAATATTGGACTCAACTCATAAAGGGTCCATTTTTCAAGGCATGCTTAAGCACATCATTTAGGAAACATAAATACAATTCTTAGCAAGTCTTAGAGCTAGGGTTGCTAGGCCAAGCCTGGCAACCATCAGGAAGGTTGGGCACAGGGACATGTGGGGGGCATGATCACAGAGACCCCAGAAGTGGCAGTGGTAGCTCTAGGAATTGGCAGAAACTCTATGGTATAGAGATGCTTTACATCTCTGTGTTAGCTGCCCTGAGCCTGCCTTGGCAGGGAGGGCGGGATATAAATTAAACGAATAAATAAATAAAAAATAAAACCATGGATTTTTCTGGTGATTCCTAGAGCTACTGCCATTACTTTCAGATTTCCCCTGGACGTGATGTCATCACACTCGCAATGCCAGTGAGGGGGGGTTTTTTTGGCTTGGCAGCCCTGCTCATAACCTACAAGTGGTCCTACGCACTGAAAAGCCAGATATTGAGATCCTGAAGTTACATGTGAACACATGTAGTAACTATACTTTTTAAAAAAGGAAAAGTGGCTTTGGAGGTCAGAGATTTAGAGCAGAGAAGCAGAGTGGGGGAGTGTCATTTTCC